GCCCCAGAAAGCCATCATGGTATAATTAAATCCTTACTCTTCAGGTTGTTCAAATCCTCCCCATTTTCAGCACAACCTGCAGGCTGACAATGTTTTCTAGAGCTGTGAGTTCCTGAGACAGGTAGTAAGATCTGAAAAATATGTTTGGCTGCTAGGCTCTTACATATTTTAAACATTGGTAGTAAAGAGGGCTTACAGGAGCTGCATGCATTTGTAATGTGCCTGACAGCTTGCAAAGAAAGAATTTGGTTTGCTATTTTTTAGTTGGTCTAATAAAAGGTATCACCTCTGAACCAAGAGTTTGAGGGTTTTGTATTTCTTTTTGTCTCAAACCAACATGGTTACAAAAAAGATCCCTGAAACTTGGAAGATAACTGTGCTGTTGGCACTTGCTAAGGAGCACTTGGAGTTGAGAGTGGGGGAGCTGAGGCTGGTGCCTTTCCCTGAATGAGTGTATAAGTCCAAATAAATAACCAGGCATCAGAATGGGTGGGAAAATGCTGTATTCAGGACTAGGGGGCTCTGTGGCTGCCTTAAAAGCTGGGGAGCTCTGGGCTTATGGTGGCATCAGCTCTTTTCTTGATTTCATTTTTAATTTTTAAAGCATTCTTACTCCACCATCTCTCCTGATGCTTGCCCTCCACTTCTGCTAAGTCATTTGCTCTGCAGGTAGCTGCTGAAGACAGTTATGGAGAAGAAGCGCTCTATCTGTCTGTGTGCTGACACAGACAGCATTGCTATAGGGTCAGGAAGTATTGCTTCAAGAATTTACAAAGATAGGGATATGGTCTTAAGCTTCCTTTGTGGCACATGTGGAAAGCATTGGCCCATGATCCCAAGCATGGTGTCCTGTCACCGCAGCAGCCCTTCTGAGACCTTCCTTCCTCTGCTCTCTTGTGTTTCTCTGCAGCTATACCAGCCTTTGTCATATATGTAGTTGTCCTTGTCTTGCAGGTTTGTCTCCCCTACTTTTTCAGGTGCATCTGGTCATCCCAATCATTGCAATGGGTGACTGGTGAGATAGGAAAGTCACCGCTCAGGCATCCTCAGCCAGTCTCTGATGGAACAGAAACCTCCAAAAGCTTGGACTCTCCAGCTGGGCTCACACCCTGCTGAGCCCTCCTTTACCCCTCTAGGCACCCAAATCTCACTGCATACCTACACTCCCGCTGGACTCCCCCCACCCACAATCTCTCTTGGTCACAACTGCCATCACACTCCTCTTCATCCCTACCACCCCTGCCATCCTGCTCAGATGCAAACACCATCCGGTCTTTCTCACTAACTAGAACCCTGCGAGGAGTACCACGCTGGGGACGGGAGGAGGGATCCTGAGGGGGATAATTTTGGGTCCTGGGAGGAATGTCCGCAACACACGGACAGTTGGGGTTGGGGGAAGATTTGCTTCAGTCGCTTACAACACCTCTACCAAAGGTGACCAGCCCCTCTGGATCTGACGGTGCTCATCTGTATGTCACCTACTGGCTGTACCATTAGTTCAGGCTCCATCATCTGCTGCAATGTATAACCCAGGAAAGCATCACTTCAATAACTTATCTCTTTGCCTCACCTTTGCAATTCCCTCCTGCCTCTGAATGCTGCACAACTGCACTGCTTAGCCTGCCTTCAGCTCTGCCCCTTCCCTCCCTGTGTCTGACTTGTTGTGGGTTCGAATCCCCTAGGAACAAAGTCACCTAGTACAGGTTCCTAGAGTACACCTTGATTGGATATGCTGGGAGGCGAGCTGAGCAACATTACCAGGAGTAGATAACAGACAGGATCATTTTAAGAGAGAGGCTAGCTTAAATAGTGGAAGATCAATAATGGCTTATACCTATGAAGGGTAGAGATTAGCAGGAATCGGATAATGAACCTAGAAGTCAGTTGACTCCCTCAGCCCCACCTGAATAGAAATATGTCCATTATTGTCAGACGGTTTGTTTTAAACTTTGTGAAGTGGGAATCAAAGGGGAGTGTGACTGCTCCACCAACCCACCCTTGAACCACCCCTCTGTACTCCACTGTGATTAGAGACGGGGGAAAGAGATGGTGAATTTTCTTCTGGCATCTTTCTCCTGTTTGCTGAGTATTTCTGGGCAACAACTCTGAGCTAGTGTGTTCCTGAGCAAGCCTCAGTTTATCTATGTTTCAGATGGTTTCTAATACTTTGCTATCTCAAAGGGGAGTTAGGATTAGCTAGTGTTTGAAAAGCATCTGGAGAGCCTGTGAGAGAAGTCTTCTTACAAAAGCCAAGAGTCAATATAGTTATTACAGTGTTATGCTGTGGGATTAATGCATGTTTCAGTTATGATGAGTAGAAAGAAGGAGGTTTGAATTAAAATTACCTTCTCGAACATGATGATGTCAGGAGTTATTGTGCTTGTGTGCATGCATGTACATGGGGGGTGGGGGGGTAGAGATGTGTTAGTGATACAGACTGTGCTACTGAAGTCAGTATTTCCTTTCAGGATCCAACCAATGATATCTGAAATACCATATTCATTTTCTGTGATTAAAACAAGGAAACACATGTCCCCACCCTAACTGTAACCCTTTGACAGTTCTAGTATTAACTGGCAAATGCTGCCTTTCTCAAGGTAACCAGGCTCAAGACTTCCATTCTTGCACACAGGAAGGAAGACTTCCAAGCTTCAATTCTTGTTATGTGCGATATGAGCCACACTGAGTGGAAGCAAGCTGCCTTTTTACCCGTTTCTTGCTGCCAAGATTATGATGCTAGAGCTCTCATGCCATTTCTCTGGATGATTTGCTTGAACATGTTGGAATGTTTCAGATATTCCCATAGAGAAGACAACACGTAGTCCTTTATGTATTGCTGCGACATCCTACAGCTTGTTAAATTTGCATTGACGCATCACTGATGCAAAATTTCTTGAGTAAGAAGGTTCCCGATAAATGCAGCTTTTTATTGCTGAATAACAATCTTACTCTCGCTGGCAGCTTTCCATTGACCTCTGAGGAAAATGGACCTACCCCATATGCATCCCAGCCTACAAGATGCTGAGTACCCTCCACTCTCATCAGCTTCAGTGGGAGTACAGGGTGCTTAGCGCTGGTCAAAATTGGGCCCTTGAGACTGAGGTAGATCACCATATTTACTCGAATCCAACGTGAGGTATGTGGGCAGGGGGCAGAGACTCATCTAGGATTCAAGTGCCAGCCCAGGCTTAGTTCCAACTTTGGCTCCAGGGCTGAAGCCAGAGTTGAGCCTCCACCTGCCCTGGGCTGGATTGGCTCATTTGGTGGGGGAGAGGGCATGTGGCTGGGGGAGCTTCAAGGAAACCACAGAATGGTTTCCCCTACACCCTGCTCCCCCCCACTCCCCTATACCCTGATCCCCCCTGCAGCCTGCCCACCCCATACCAGCTGCCCCTTTTGCTCCGGCTCTGGTCCCTCCAGCCCTGACCTGACCTGGCCACAAACTGCTGCTGCTGTTTCTTCCTAGCTGGGCAGGGCTGGGGCTCCCACTGCTGCTGAGTGCCCGAGTGCTGAAACAGAGCTGTAGCAGAAGGTAAGGGGCATGGGTGGGTGAGGAGTAGAGGGGCAGGCACAGGCACAGGGAGGCAAAGGGTGGAGGTGGGACAGGCTGCAGGGAGGGTAGGAGGGGTAGGCAGCAGGCTGCAGGGGCGAGTAGGAGGAGGTTGGGCAAAGCAGGGAGTCAAGGGCAGACAGGCATGGAGGGGCAGGTGGCAGGGGGCCATGCAGCAGGAGGTACATGGCAGGGGGCAGGCAGGGGAGCAAGGCAGAGGATTTCCCTGGAGTTCCATGGCAGTGGGGAGAACAAATGTAAGATGACCTTCCCCAAATTGGCTTCTGTACCTGGAAAATTATAACACATCTATAATTTTCCAGGTATAGCATCTCAATTATTGATGGGGAGGGGTGTCTTATATTCAGAGTTATCTTGGATTCTGGTCAATACGGTGTATCTCAGTATATAGAGAGTGTTTTGGATTCACTGTTGATATCACCCACGAAAATCCTTGCCTCTTGCATGAATATCCTTGGCAATTTTTCATGAATTGTATGTTCCAGTTGCCATTTGCTGTTGCACTCGAAGCACTATAGTTTGCATAAATAATATTATACCCCTTCTAGTTAAACAGTTAGCCTGCTTTAGGCTTAAAACAAGTTAACTGTGCTTTTGAAAGCATTTGGAACTGTTTAAGCAAAACTCCCAAAGGGGATTTGCTCTGAGCAGTTAATTAGATTGTGTTAGCGGAAGTGATTCTTCTCTCAAAATTAACGCTCTGAGCAACAAGGGGCCTAGAGGTTCTCAGTAGCAGCGACCTGCTCCTGCATCCAGATAGCTGAGCTGCTCTAATTTAAATGGTAAGGATGCTGCTGTGTGAGGCTGGTGACAGTTCTTGGGAATCATGGCCTGAATTATGTCTAATTCCATGTTATGAGGGGATAATTCATTACAAATGTACACGGGTGGGGGCTTTGGGTGGAAGACACTGTTGAAACAAAGTATTTTATGATTGTCGCTGCTGTGAGAAGAGGATGTTGTGTTGGCAAAGAATGAGTGGAACTGCTCTGAACGTGGGGATGTCCAGCCATTGCAGCACGTGTACATATTCCAGTCCTTGTGTTTTTTGGCTATTAAATGTTGCTTTGGTAACTCTACAGTATGCCAGTCCTTGCACTCTGATTTGATACTGCTCTGGGATCTCAATAGCAAAACATCACCTTCTCTTTTTATTTTATTCATACAAGAAAGAGGAACAGTCTCTTAATGGTCTAAAAGGATTTAAAGATTTCAGCATAATATCAGGTGGAGGGAGTTTCCTGCTAGGTAAGTAATAGCTGTATCCTACACTAACAAGCACCTGTGAGCGCTGACACAGAGCTGGATTCTCTACTTGCTTTGTAAAATAGTTCCAAGTTGCATCTAAGTAAAAATAGCTTTCTTTTGGCAGCTGCTAAGCATCACCATTTCATTTGGTACTGATCTTGTGGCGGTGTTTGTTTTTCAGAATCAAGCATGAAAATATTGTTGCTTTGGAAGATATATATGAGAGTCCAAACCACTTATATCTGGTTATGCAACTGTAAGTAGTCAAGTTAATTAAGTTTATTTATTTAACCATCCTGTCAAAATTATCCATGGCTCTTGTTATAGGGGTTTTTTTGTTTCTTTTAAACCAAAAAAGATGGAATAGACCAGACGTATTTATTTCATTTACTTTCCCTGAAAACTAGGTGGAATGATGCCTAAAAAACTGCGGGCCAGATTTCCCTCATACGCTTTCTGAAATTGTTAAATAGTGTATTCTGTAAATAGCCTCATTCAAATTTGTGCGATGGTTTACAGAGTACAGTACTAACTGGCTTGCATAAAGGGATCAACATTTGGCATGCGCTTCCTCCTTCCCCTCTCTCTCATATGTATATACACACCACATACTTCATTTATATCATGCAGACTTTGTTTTTATGGGTTGCATGGTCTTTATCTCTTGTTTCAGAAGGAACGAAAAACGGAAGACAAAAATAAACTAATCTTGGTTGATTCACAGACACCTAAACTGTGCAATGTGATACATATGAGAGAGAGAGAATCAAATTGCCACAGTTTAGTTGTCTGTGAATCAACCAAGATTAGATTGTTTTTTGGTCTTCCCTCTTTGGTTCTTTCTGAAACAAAAGAGAGAGCCTACGCAGCCTAAAAACGAAGCCTGTGTAGTATAAATGAAGTGTGTGTTTTGTACTGACAAACAGAAGGTCAAAGATGATGAACATGCAAGTTTGCATTTAAATATGGAAATTAGATTGTACCCACTAGCCAGTTATGAAGAAAACTTCTTCCTTGTCTAAGTATTACTGACAGAGTTGATAAGGGCTCTACACTGAATACCTGTCCAAATTTGAGCCAACGAGAGAGTCATCCATCATCGCTGGCACATCAGCTCACCCTAACGGTAGCCCTCTGAATAGCATTTCTCTCGAAACAAAAGTGTGCATCCATAGCTCGTCTACATCAGAAACTTGTTATGTGAATGCTGGTGGCTCGGTGGAACATCTCATCTCCCCCGTGCTTACCGTGTCTCACTGGCAGTGCAGATCTCTGTTGCATTCATTTTCTGTAGTGAACTTCTCTGAAGTCACGTTCACAGGAGAGTTCCTTCCCCTCTCCCGTTTGTCACAACTGTAGCCTTCCTTCTCCCCTCTTTTTCCCTTCTGCTACACTTTAATAAGCGAGACATTTCACATCAGAGGCCAGGAGGATTGCTTCGGTGTCACCAGGTGATCTCTTCAGTCAGAGTATTGAAAGGGGTCAGTCTGGGAGACATACAGAAGATACATATTCAAGGGGTTTTCTTTCTGGAATCCAATTTAAAATCCCTGACTTGAAATCAAACTTTCTTCTTACTCATGTAATACTATAAATCTCCTGTTGTCAGTCAGCGGGATCATTCTGGTGCCAGATACATATAATGGAATTATTTGTTACAGAAACACCCTGGGTCCCACTGCGTTCGGTGCTATATAAACAATTAATAAAGTGAAGAAAGTGCTATAAAGCAAGCTGTACTGGAACATGAGAGTCTTACAAATTCCAACAAATGAAGTAAATTCCATTAAACACAGATTTTATGATTTGTTAGCGGGGAACTCCTGCTTTTGTTCAACTCTACCAAAATCTCGGTATTCTGATGGTGGTGTTATTTATTACAAATGTGCCACTTTTTCCAAATTCTGTCGTGTCCGAATTTCTAGCTCAAATTTGTATTGGGTCTTGAATCTAAAATTCTGAGCAAAACCAAAATCTGTAGTTCTGAATCTGTGGTTTTAAGAATCATTCATAGTAAAATCCCAATTTATTGTTCTGAACCTTTGTCTTTAAGAAAATATGATGCTTACCGCTACTTTGGTAATACTGAGATTCTCTTGTTTTCCATTTTGATTACTGGTAACAACCTGAAGGACTGTTTGGGCTCAAATTAAAAGGAAGAAGATGGAGTTTGAATGTCACGGGAGTCTTCCTAGCTGTTAGATCAGAGGGCGTAGTAGAAGCCCCTCCTTTTTTCAGAAAGGTTTGGACAGAGCACTAGAAATACGTGAACCCAGAAATATTTCCTGATCTCAGGGGAATAAAGGATTTCTCCATCAATTAATTCTAGGATATTTAGGTGTTTCAAGGTGTTTCTGTGTTCAGTTGTAATTTGATTTGCTTGGGGATTATTTATTATTATCAGTTTCTCCTCCTTCCTGCTTCACCTCCTCTTGCTGTAGCTATTTTTCCCTTCATTCATTTTTAAATAGTTGATTTGAAATATTTGATTCCAAAGGCCAAGGACTTCACCTGACATGAATAGACACAGCTTCGCTGAAGTCTTGGCAGTGAAGGGCCGTAGAAGTCATTGGAGCTGAACCCATTTATATCAAGAGCGTCCAGCACTAAATATTGTGGCAGTCGAATGAAATGAGGAACCTGCTATGAATTGTCATGAATAACACCGAGATGTTTTGTGTACAAAATGCATTGTACTTAAGGTCCATCAAATGGGCTTGGTTCTGTAGATCATCCCTTTTAAAGTGAAGGGAAACATCCTAGCAAAATGGCTACAGTTTTTTATTGCTCAGGTGCTTGTCACTCAACAGGCAAGGCCTGATTGTACTGCATTCAGCATGGGCACTAGTAATGACATAGTCTTTGTACTGCACTCCCCAAGGAGAAGAAGGTCCAATCAATGGTATCAACCCCAGCTGGGCGGGAGGAGGTGGCTGAAGACCCATCCCTGCCGTGCGTGGTGGATAGTCTGAGCTGTCTAAAGGCTGTTTCAGCCTGTGCACGCTCCCCTCCCTCCGACACGTATTCTGAAATGCCCTTAATGTCTCGGAGTTAGGGCTAGATCTTCACAAAGTTCTTTAGAATTAAAATCAATTTAACATGCCCAATTTCCTGCATGCCATCTACGAGGATTTATGCATGGATAATTTCTTGTTTCCTAGGAAACATCAACTTGTTGATACAACAGCTTAAAAACTACATGGCACTAGCACCTCTTCAGTTCCAGCTCAGTCTGATATACTATTATATTTCTTGTGGTTTTTTAGCTTCCAATTTTCATTTATTTCTCCCGAACAAATCAATGCTTGAGTTACCTCTATTTAAAACCTGCCTTTGGTCTGGATGAGCAGTGCATGACTTCAGCAGTGCTCTGGGAAATGGGATTCTTATTAAAATAGAATTGGAGGTGGCATTGGAGTCACTGAGAGCTTATAGACAGAAAGGTCTGTTTTCTGTTAATGAGAAGCAGGATAAAACATCCCCCAAATTTGAGGGAATTCAGAAGCTGAATCTGGTTCAGTTTTTGATGGCTGTGCTTTATTTCTGTCGCAGACTCCAAATCTGAACACTCCCAGCCTTTGTGGTTGTTGAAATCTAGAGCAAAAATTTGCCTCTTGGATCCATCTCTGCTTTTGCTGCAACCGACACTGAATGTTGCATGTAGAAAAGAATTTTCCCTTTTACAAAAGAAAAAAAAAAGGAAAAAATACCTTTGTGCTTGAACTATTTTATAAAGAGTGTACATTGTGTTACAAGCTGCAAATTGACTGTTGAATTGCAACACACAAGGTGCTTTAAAACCCTGGGAATAAGTTGTTTGAAAGGCTGTTGAGGTTCAGAGAGTTGCTTATAATTGTGACAAGGTATGAAAGCAAGTTTTGTTTACTGGGGGTGGGGGGGGTGTCATTGTGACATATATTCATTGTGTGGGGTTTTTTCCCAAATAATACCAATGGAAACTCCCAAAGGAGAATGAGTTGAGTATCAAATCTGTTGCATACAAAAACTGCATTACAATTTAAGGTTGCAAAGCCAAGCAGTCGGTAGTTAAGAAATGTCAGAAGTAAAGATTGCCTTTGAAACCTTAATTCACCCCCTAGTGTGAATATGTATTAGGGCAGTCTTTCATTATGCGATCATATCCTGTACTATTTTTCAATAGGACCTTTGCCCGTGAACTGGGTTATTTTAAAGGTTTACAACATGGCCAGATTTAGGCAGATTTCCATAGGGATGGTACAAGGTACAGCTCTAGAACTGAGGCCACCCTTCTGCCCGATGCCACAGAAGAGAGGCAGAATTTTTCAGAGTAAAAATTACTAGTGTGTATATATACAAAATGGTTGAGACACTTTAGCTGCTATCTTCAAAAAGAATTCAGCCTGAGGCAAATACCCAGCTACCTGAAAAATTTCTGCCCAAGTCGTTACAGGTTTGGCAAAATCATAAGCCACTGAAACCAGGGTCTTATAATAGGGAGTGTTGGGCAATAACATAAAATATGGTTCTGAGATGGCAGCTGCTACTGCTTCCTCTATGAACATTTTAAGACATTACTAAAGAAGAAATATACGCCAGAAAGGCACCATGGAGTGTTCAGGATTGATTTCACCAGCATTATTGTAATTTCATGCTTCCTTTGTCAATACAAATGATGTGCAACCCACTGCCCCGTTCCTAATGGTGATGTCATGTAATAACATTAAGATCTGCAGCAACTAGTTACCTGCTGCGAATGAAGACAAATGATAAAATACTTGGAGGGTTTTGTTTCTTTTGTTTGCTGAGTGAGCGGTGTCCCAAGAGGATACTGGAGATGATTGGGGAAAATAAATTACTTCCAAATAAATGTTTTATCAAACTTTTTGGTTTGGTTTGAGCATAGGATTGCTTGCAACTAAGCATAGCCAGTGCCCTATTCAGTAATCATTGGAGGTTCATTTCCCAATAGATTCCATGCCACATTTTCTTGGATGTAGTAATAATTGCCCCTTATCCTGGTACCCTGTTGTGGTTATACTGACTAGTACCAACTTTTTAATGGTGGTTTTTCAGGGCCTTCATTGCCTCTTAATAGAACTGGCTAATTACCAAGACTGAAAATATCCTTAGCACCCTGCCACTTACCCTGCCTCCTGGGCCAGACCGTGGGGCTCCTCGTGGGCCAGATCTACATGTGGCAGAGGTGGCAAGGTGAGTAACAGGTGTGTCAGCCAGTGGAGTTAGCACAACCATTGCCCCCACCTCCCCAATAGA